GTTAAGACACCAGGCTCAAGGTAAAGATGAGGAGGGTGGAACTGCATCCCCTATTATATTATGGATAAGAATGTATACTATTTTTTTCAACATACTGTGTTTGTGAATAAAATGTAAGTTTGATGTTGAAGTTAGAGAACGTTTCTATTTTTTGTTGTAATTCTTGTCGTAATACGATAAAACCCTCCTCATGACAAACATGGTTCGGCCACAGAGAAAACTTATAACCTTAACTTTATCATTCTTCCCTGTGCTGCACTAAATGCCTGGTTCTCTACAGACAGCCTGAGTCGGTCTCACCGCTGTGGGTCAGAACCAGATATCCTGATATAAAGAATCGGTACCAACTCTCTCAGAAACAACGGCTGTGTGAGTTTCTCTTTTTTAGAACAGAAACTGGCTGCAGCTCTCATGTAAATGTCAGGTAACTGACAGACGTGTCACTGATTCCTCCCATCATGACCAAACCAGAGGCAGAGGGAACAACGAAGCTCCTTGAACTGAACACCGTCTGCTAACCATGAAATATGTTTTAATGCCTGAGTAGAGATAAAAACGTTATTCAGCTATTAAAACTAGGAAAACATGCCATTTTTATCTGTTTCAGGGGGCGCTATAGAGTCACTGTGCCACGCCCATTTGTAATTTCATTAACATACAAAAACTACTGTCTCTTCCCATCCTGAGATATATTTTTGGATATGTTCAGGGCACAATAATAATTAAAAACAGCCCATTGGTAATGTTGCACCAAGTGAATATAAATAAATAATCTGCTGAGTCAATTAAAATCAATCCATACTGCCCAGAAAAAGGCTCACATTTATTTATTGCAAAAGAAAATATGTTACAAGAAAGTCTGCATTCAAAATAAAAAGGATATCTGAATTTACATATTACACATCCAGTTGTCCTTTTTTTTTCCATAAAATTTTCACCATCTCAAGAAAAATACAGTTAGTGAATCACTTCCTGTGTGTTTAATGCTTCTTCTCTTAAGTTGATTTTTATACTTTATTTGTGTTGTAAGATGAATCATTTACAAAAGTGCTACAAAGTTTAAAAATTTCATCACCTCTTCATAGAAGACAAGCAGTCATCAGAAAATTAGGGACAGGTTTTAAGATGGAAACATCTATTGTCATAGTTATAAGTCATGAGATTTTGCTTTTGTGGGTATTTTTTATGATGTAATTTGTCTTCTTTGGAGGTTGTTTGGTTTTTCCTAATACACATGTGGACACAACTGTTGATACTCCTCTGTTAATGACTGAAAAATGCACAAAGGTCACTGAAATAACTTGAATTTAAAAAAAGTAATAAATAATTTTAATAATTTTAAAAAAGGACTGTAAATTAACCAATGAAAATCAGACATTGCTTTTGAAATGTGGTTCAACAAAATCATCTTAACAAGCAAATTAATGAAACAGGCCTGGACAAAAAAGTTAAATGGCCTTTTTTGTCCATTTAACTTTGACCTTATCAAATCTGGAAAACATTACATTATATTCAGTCTCTCACAAACAGGTGGCGTCAAATGACTGGATTGTAGCCACAATTGCCCTGGGGCAGTTTCTAAAAATGAATGGATGTCAACATGACAAAGTAGCTCCGTAACAACAGCTGATGTCTGAGAAGTGAAGAAATGACAACAACGATGGAGACTGAAAGACTTAAACTAAAACACACATTTGAACTAATTGGTCATCATGTCACTGCTGACTATTTAGGTTTAACAAACTCAGCAGAGGATCCTTCAGAAAGTCTAATCCCAGCATGCAGAGGCTGAATGAATCTGGTCTGGACTCTGTGGAGGAGACTGATGGTTCCAGAGACGTTGTAGAAACACAGAATACCTGCTCTGTGGTCCAGATACACTCCGACTCGGGAGGAAACTGGACCTGGTACTGGAGTTTGACTTTTGTTGTGCCAAAATGTACAACTATTTCTGTCACAGCGCAGTGACCAAGATTTGTCATTGAATCCAAATGAACTTCCATCTGAGCGTCCTGATCTGCTGATGTTCTTGTATGATACTGCGATATTAACGCTTCCTCCGCTCCAATCCACCTCCCAGTAACAACGTCCAGGCAGATTCTCTGTACTCAGGATCTGAGGCCAAACAGTGAATCTGTGTGGATGATCAGGATAAAACTGCTGTTGGTTCATTCTTGTTACTTTTCTATTACCCTCAGATAATAACAGTAATCTATTTGCTGAATTTGCATCCAGAGTGATTTTTTGTGAACACCTGAAGAACTCAACTCTGATCTTTGGTTCTGGCACTGCAACGATCATCATTGTGACTCTCAGTGAAATTCTTCTCCATGTCTTTCAAAATTTTCTGTAGCTTGTCTCTGAGCTCTGACACAGCTGCTGTCACGTCCTCAAAGTGTCTCAGAGGACGGATGTTGATGCTGGATGATCCTGTAGACTCACTGAGTGCTGGCAGTGAGGGGTAGTTGAGGAGAAACTGGGTGTGATCCTCTGTGTGTGAGAGCTGCTCCAGCTCAGCGTCTTTCCTCTTCAGCTCAGTGATCTCCTGCTGCAGCTTCTCCTGAACATCTTTGACTCGACTCACTTCAGTTTCCTGCTGGGATCTGATCTGCTGCTTCACATCAGAGCGTCTTTCTGGAGGAGACGGATCAGCTCAGTGAAGATCTTCTCACTGTCCTCCACTGCTTTATCAGCAGAGACATTGATGGCCTCCACCTTCTGTTGAAGCAGCTTCACATCTTTCTCTTGGTCCTGGATTCTCTGATGGATTTGTTGTCGACTCTCCTGGAGCTTCTTCTGCTTCTCAGCTCTTTCTGCTGCAGCTGGGACTGTTTCATGGCCTTTATGTTCATCCATAGTGCAGAGATAACAGATACTCTGCTGATCAGTACGACAGAAGATCTTCATCACCTCATCATGACGAGAGCAGATTTTCTCCTGGAGGTTCTTAGAAGGATTCACCAGCTTGTGTTTCTTCAATGGTGGAGCATCATGGTGAGGTTGGAGATGATCCTCACAGTAGGAAGCTGGACATGATAAACAGGACTTGACAGCTTTTCTCTTCCTCCCAGTGCAGACATCACAGGCCACATCTTCAGGTTCAACATAGCAGTCAATAGGTGGAATGGTTTTACGTTCAGTCTTCTTTAGATCCATCACCAACTTTGCTAATGTGATGTTCTTCACCAGGGCAGGTCTTGGTATGAACTCTTTCCTGCATTCAGGGCAGCTGTATTTTCTCCTCTGATCTTCTCTATCCCAGTGGTAGTTAATACAGTTCCTACAGTAGCTGTGTCCACAGGGAATAGTCACTGGATCCTTCAGTATCTCCAAGCAGAAGGAACAAGAGACATTATCCTGCTGAAATCCTCTCTTCTCCATTTGTGCTTCTAAGTAATAATAAAAACTAAGTGTTCATGTTCTCGCTCATAGTTCAGAAAACTACTTTCTGTGTTTTCATTTGACATTTAATTGATAATTAGGTGTGCTGTTTTAGTGCCCTCTATGGGTGTTTCAGTGGTACTGCAGGTCAATTTCCATACTGGATCCATGTGTAGCTGTAGTTTACCTGTGTAGTTATTAAATGCTCAAGAGCTGGCACCAGAGTTAATTTAAACTTTTTACAAGCAGTTATAATGTGTTCTTGATCCAACCCAGCCAGCAAACCCAGGTGGGAGCCATGTGGGATAAATGATAGTAAACAATATGTATCCCAGAAGGTTTTGTCCACGGTTTTCATGGTGACCCTACATGTGTAGAATCAGGAATTTGTGAGTGAAACTACAAAACAAACAGTTGCATCATGGGTAACACAGAGCTAAATGAGCGCATTGACTTTTAACAAAATTGTTTAATTTTATATATCATTTTTGTTATTTATGAAAATGCAGGACGTTGTCAATATTTATTAACTAGTAGATAAAAAGGAAGGGTTGTCAATGTTTTCAACTAGAATATGGCAGAATCTAAGGTTAATTTCACAAACAGTATTTATTCTTGAGTAGTTTTAAATATGTTTTATATTTAGACATTGTATTATTTGGGAGAAGAAATCTGCAAATCTGGGTTGCAATATGTAACTTCTATGAAGAATGTTTTTTATTTCACATCCATTCATCCATCGTCTGCCGCTTATCCGGGGTCGGGTCGCGGGAATAGGCCCAGTCTTCCTTCTCCCCAGCCACTTCCTCCAGCTCCTCCGGGGGAACCCCGAGGCGTTCCCAGGCCAGTCGGGAGACATAGTCCCTCCAGCGTGTCCTGGGTCTTCCCCGGGGCTTCCTCCTCCTGGTGGGACGTTCCCGAAACACCTCACCAGGGAGGCATCATGACCAGATGCCCGAGCCTCAACTGGCTCCTCTCGATGTGGAGGAACAGCAGCTCTACTCTGAGACCCTCCCGGATGGCCGAGCTTCTCACCCTTCTCTAAGGGAGATTTATTTTACATATTTTAAAAAATATATAAACATGTATATATGGAGTACAGGACTATCTTGTATCCTTGGCCTCTTCTGGAAATGAAGCAGCTGCATGAAATGGTCTGAAGTACTTTCAGATTCCGGAATGGAAAGTCTTTTCATTCAGAACAGAGAGTTGACCTCTGAACCTTTGGATTCTTTCTGCAGCATACGCAGGTAAATTTTCACAGTTGGGAGTCATAACCTGACGCCGAGGTGGTAAAACCCACAATCCCAGCACAATAATTAACCCATAAGAACCCAGACCCATTTTTACATTCAGAAAAATGATGGGAGTTGTACATCATATTTCAAGGTTTTTATTTTTATATATTCATTTACAGGCACACATCTGTAACATCACACATTTATCTAACTAAGTACATTAAACATTTTAACAAATACACATTTTAATCAGATAATGCTAAATATTTCAGATTCATAAACTCAGCAGACGATCTATCAGAAAGTCAAACCTGACAAAGATCAATGAAGTAACTTGAAATTAAAAAAAAGTAATAAATAATTTTAAAAAAGGACTGTAAATTAACCAATGAAAATCAGACATTGCTTTTGAAATGTGGTTCAACAAAATCATCTTAACAAGCAAATTAATGAAACAGGCCTGGACAAAAAAGTTAAATGGCCTTTTTTGTCCATTTAACTTTGACCTTATCAAATCTGGAAAACATTACATTCAATCTCTCACAAACAGGTGGCGTCAAATGACTGGATTGTAGCCACAATTGCCCTGGGGCAGTTTCTAAAAATGAATGGATGTCAACATGACAAAGTAGCTCCGTAACAACAGCTGATGTCTGAGAAGTGAAGAAATGACAACAACGATGGAGACTGAAAGACTTAAACTAAAACACACATTTGAACTAATTGGTCATCATGTCACTGCTGACTATTTAGGTTTAACAAACTCAGCAGATGATCCTTCAGAAAGTCTAATCCCAGCATGCAGAGGCTGAATGAATCTGGTCTGGACTCTGTGGAGGAGACTGATGGTTCCAGAGACGTTGTAGAAACGCAGAATACCTGCTCTGTGGTCCAGATACACTCCGACTCGGGAGGAAACTGGACCTGGTACTGGAGTTTGACTTTTGTTGTGCCAAAATGTACAACTATTTCTGTTACAGCGCAGTGACCAAGATTTGTCATTGAATCCAAATGAACATCCATCTGAGCGTCCTGATCTGCTGATGTTCTTGTATGATACTGCGATATTAACGCTTCCTCCGCTCCAATCCACCTCCCAGTAACAACGTCCAGGCAGATTCTCTGTACTCAGGATCTGAGGCCAAACAGTGAATCTGTGTGGATGATCAGGATAAAACTGCTGTTGGTTCATTCTTGTTACTTTTCTATTACCCTCAGATAATAACAGTAATCTATTTGCTGAATTTGCATCCAGAGTGATTTTTTGTGAACACCTGAAGAACTCAACTCTGATCTTTGGTTCTGGCAATGCAACGATCATCATTGTGACTCTCAGTGAAATTCTTCTCCATGTGTCTTTCAAAATTTTCTGTAGCTTGTCTCTGAGCTCTGACACAGCTGCTGTCACGTCCTCAAAGTGTCTCAGAGGACGGATGTTGATCCTGGATGATCCTGTAGACTCACTGAGTGCTGGCAGTGAGGGGTAGTTGAGGAGAAACTGGGTGTGATCCTCTGTGTGTGAGAGCTGCTCCAGCTCAGCGTTTTTCCTCTTCAGCTCAGTGATCTCCTGCTGCAGCTTCTCCTGAACATCTTTGACTCGACTCACTTCAGTTTCCTGCTGGGATCTGATCTGCTGCTTCACATCAGAGCTTCTTTCCTGGAGGAGACGGATCAGCTCAGTGAAGATCTTCTCACTGTCCTCCACTGCTTTATCAGCAGAGACATTGATGGCCTCCACCTTCTGTTGAAGCAGATTCACATCTTTCTCTTGGTCCTGGATTCTCTGAAGGATTTGTTGTCGACTCTCCTGGAGCTTCTTCTGCTTCTCATCCATTTCTGCTGCAGCTGGGACTGTTTCATGGCCTTTATGTTCATCCATAGTGCAGAGATAACAGATACTCTGCTGATCAGTACGACAGAAGATCTTCATCACCTCATCATGACGAGAGCAGATGTTGTTCTGGAGATTCTTGGATGGATTCACCAGCTTGTGTTTCTTCAATGGTGGAGCATCATGGTGAGGTTGGAGGTGATTCTCACAGTAAGAAGCTGGACATGATAAACAGGACTTGACAGCTTTTCTCTTCCTCCCAGTACAGACATCACAGGCCACATTTTCAGGTTCAACATAGCAGTCAATAGGTGGAGCAGCTTTATGTTCAGTCTTCTTTAGATCCATCACCATCTTTGCTAATGTGATGTTCTTCACCAGGGCAGGTCTTGGTATGAACTCTTTCCTGCATTCAGGGCAGCTGTATTTTCTCCTCTGATCTTCTCTATCCCAGTGGTAGTTAATACAGTTCCTACAGTAGCTGTGTCCACAGGGAATAGTCACTGGATCCTTCAGTATCTCCAAGCAGAAGGAACAAGAGATATTATCCTGCTGAAATCCTCTCTTCTCCATTTCTGCTCTCAGTAATGACTTTGAGTTTTTTTTCCTTGGAATAGTTTCAGTTCGCATATAAATATCTGGTTACTGTTGTGTCGTGGTCCCACCCATCATGCCATCTGCAAAGAAGAGGAAAGGGAATAAAGAAGCTGTTTGAGCTGAACATATAGGACCCTCATTACTTATTGAAATCCAAAGCTAAAGTGTGAAAAACTTTGAAATATGTGTATTCTATATCAGGCAATTATCTCACACGGAGACATTTTGAAGAATTTACCCTTTAACCTTTTAAATTTTAGTTGACCTCTTTTATGGGTCTTTGTCTTTGGTTCACTTCCAGAAGTGACATAAAATAGTCTCATGACTTGCTAAAATGTTTAGCAAGTCCCAGCCAATAGTTTGGCTTTCCCAGCCAAAGACTCAGAGGATAAGAACCACCTGCGGTGGTTGAGAAGGGAATTTCTTTTTATTTTATAAATATATATATGCCTGTGATAGTCTAGCTCATAACAGCAGGGTGCAAGATACTGGCAGGGAAAGCGTACATGGAGCGACATAACCAAGTGGCAGGCATAGTGTACAGAAACATCTGTGCAGAATATGGACTGGAAACCCCGAGATCAAAGTGGGAAAACACCCCAAAGGTGGTGGAGAACGCCAGAGCTAAGATCCTGTGGGACTTCCAGATCCAGACAGACAAAATGGTAAGGGCGAACTAACCAGACATTGTCGTAGTGGATAAACATCAGAGGAAAGCCGTTGTGGTAGATGTAGCAATACCAAGTGATTGCAACATCAGGAAAAGGAGCACGAGAAACTGGAGAAATACCAGGGCCTCAGGGAAGAACTGGAGAGGGCCTGGAAGGTGAAGACCACAGTGGTGCCTGTGGTCATTGGGGCCCTCGGGGCAGTAACCCCCAAACTGGATCAATGGCTACAACAGATCCCAGGAACAACATCAGACATCTCAGTCCAGAAATGTGCAGTCCTTGGCACAGCCAAGATACTGCAAGACCCTCAAGCTCCCAGGCCTCTGGTAAAGGACCCGAGCTCAGAGGATAAGAAGCCTCTGGTAGAGGCTTCTACCAGAGGCTTATCCTCTGAACTTTAGTTCAGAGGATAAGAAGCCCCCGCGGTGGGTGAGAAGGGAATTTACGATGATTGACACCTTTCTTTTTAAACCATCTCCAACAGTGAAGCAAACCTCTCCAGCTGGGAGCCACCTCTAACAGAGATGCTGACACCAACCATCACAGCCATCTCTAACAGAGATGTCTGAGAAGCTCCTCTGATGATGATGGTTTGATTCTCATCTGTTTGATCCGTCCCTCTGTGGCCAACGCACGGTTGACATTAATGAAAGGGGATTTGAGAACAATATCTGTATACCGGAATATATATTTAAGAATATATGTAGATGGGAGCCGCTGATGTTAATTTTGTGTTTACTTTGTATTCTTGTGACTATAATTTTTTTTTCTGATTTTTTGTGTGATGTTCCGGAGTTCTTTGTTTTCTTTGTGGGTTTCTTTGGTGCCGTTATTCACAATTTAGCCACCAGATATTTTTTTAACACAAAAACCAAATCGTTGCATAGCTGAATAAAGATTAATCTGAGCAGTGAAAGTCAATGTCAAATTTATTTATATAGCACTTTAAAAACAAGTGTAAAACTGCACCACAGTGCTGTACAAGAACGACAACACAAATGGATAAAAACAGACTTCAAACATTGCTTCAATTAAAAGCCAAAAAATAAAAATTTGTTTGTGATAGAATTCCACTTGTCTTATCCCCAACCCAGTTGTGAAATTTCCTCACTCCTAAATATTCCACAGTCCACAGTCAGTTGTAGTTCTGATAAACAAGAGGGAATTGATTGTACAACATTGTGTAGATGTCTTTCTGGACACGTTACAACAGGTTACAATGAATATGTTTTCTGTTTTATCAGCAAAATTACTCTTTGCAACTCCTGAACAATACCATGTGTTTCAGTTTCATTCTTTTTCCTGGAGGCTCTCTCAGGTGTTATGTGCAACACATGTTTAAACATTTTCACAACAAAATATTGACTGATGTGCTGATTGGTAAGAATAGTTTCCATCAGATTTACACAAAAAAATTAAGAAAAAGTGACATGACAAAACTCAAAAGAACTGGCTAATGTTCTAGTTGTAAATACTCAAAGAAAATATTAACATAATCACTTTAAAGCTGCAGTGTAACTTTTATTTTAAAAAATTGCAATTAGTTTAAGTCAATAAAAATCCTCTGGAGCAGTGATGTCCTGAATGGCTGAACAGAAACAGGAAGGGGCAGCACCCAAAAAAATCCCAACATCCACAAAACAAACAAGATGACAAAGAAGCTCTATCATGACAACTGATCTTGAGCAGTGAAGAAAAGCTCTCAACAATGGAGGAGATTAAAGAAATTAGGACTAAAATACACATTTTAACCAACTTGACCACAGATTACTAACTTGTGGCTATTTTTAGGATTAATGAACTCAACAGAGGAATGTTGAAAGAAAAGTCCAACACCAAACATGTAGCGGCTGAGTGAATCTGGTCTGGACTCTGTAGAGGAGAGTCATGGTTTCAGAGACGCTATAGAAAGACAGAATACCTGCTCTGTGATCCAGATGCACTCCTATTCTGGAGGAAACTGGACCCGATACTGTAGTTTATCAGTGTTGTGATTATATGTGTAACTGTCTTTGGTACAATTTAATGACCAAGATTTGTCATTTGATCCAAATGATTCTGCCTTGTTGATGTTCTGGTATGAAACTGCTATAGTTCCTCTGGCTTGCCCGCTCCACTCCACCTCCCAGTAACAACGGCCAGTCAGACTCTCTTTACTCAGGACTTGATAATGATCAGTGAATCTGTCTGGATGATCAGAATAAGACTGCTGTTGTTTTATGAATGTTGCTTTTCTGTTCCACTCATCTAATAACATATTCCTGTTTGCTGTGTTTGGATCCAGAGTGATTTGTTGTGAATAATTTAAGAATCTGTCTCTGGTCTTCGGTTCTGGCAGCAGAACATCCACTAGCTGCTGTAGCTTGTCTCTGAGCTCTGACACAGCTGCTGTCACGTCCTCAAAGTGTCTCAGAGGACGGATGTTGATGCTGGATGATCCTGTAGACTCACTGAGTGCTGGCAGTGAGGGGTAGTTGAGGAGAAACTGGGTGTGATCCTCTGTGTGTGAGAGCTGCTCCAGCTCAGCGTCTTTCCTCTTCAGCTCAGTGATCTCCTGCTGCAGCTTCTCCTGAACATCTTTGACTCGACTCACTTCAGTTTCCTGCTGGGATCTGATCTGCTGCTTCACATCAGAGCTTCTTTCCTGGAGGAGACGGATCAGCTCAGTGAAGATCTTCTCACTGTCCTCCACTGCTTTATCAGCAGAGACATTGATGGCCTCCACCTCTCGTTGAAGCAGCTTCACATCTTTCTCTTGGTCCTGGATTCTCTGATGGATTTGTTGTCGACTCTCCTGGAGCTTCTTCTGCTTCTCAGCCATTTCTGCTGCAGCTGGGACTGTTTCATGGCCTTTATGTTCCTCCATAGTGCAGAGATAACAGATACTCTGCTGATCAGTACGACAGAAGATCTTCATCACCTCATCATGACGAGAGCAGATGTTCTCCTGGAGCTTATTGGTGGGATTGACCAGCTTGTGATTTTTAAATGATGGAGAACCATAGTGAGGTTGGAGATGTTTCTCACAATAAGAAACCAAACACACCAGACAGGACTTGGCAGCTTTCCTTTTCCTCCCAGTGCAGACATCACAGGTCACATCTTCAGGTCCAGCATAGCAGTGGGTGAGTTGATCTCCTTTCTGCTCCATTTCAGCTCTCAATAACATCGACTGTGTGAGTTTCACTTCTCTGCAACAGAGACTGCTCTGAGCTGAGGTGTAAAATATTAGGTAACTGAAGGGAGTGTCTCTGGATCCTCCCATCATGACGGTTGAAACCCAGAGGGAGGGAGAACAAGGAAGCTCTTTGAACTGAACCATCTCTGGTAACCCTGAAATGTTACCACTGAGTGAATTTAAAGAGGCTGCTCACCTCAGATTGAGAATTTGCATGTTTTATTCCCAGATGGATGCAACTAGAGAACTGAAGTTGCAGCTAGTAAAGTATGTAAAAAGGTTTAAAAAAAATATTAAAGTTTAACTTAAGGAGCATAGTCTACGGTGGTTGACAATTTGGCAATAAACAAAAATGAATATTAACTATATATGATTTACATCTCCAGTTAAACTCATAAAATCATTCACTTATATCCAAAAAATCCTTTAGTTAAAAGTTCTTAACTTATCTGCAAGAACTGTTTCTCAGTAGTTAAATTCATAGGAACTGGCAGTCTGCCTGCCTAATGATACATTTTGGACACGGCTCTTATTTTAGTTGAGAACATATCCAAGATGGTGTCACAGCAGAAGCGTTCCAATTAATTTCTATTCAATTCACATATACTATAGTGCCAATTCCCTATAGATGGTAAGATAAATAATAATAAATAATTTCATTTAACGTAACTTTATACAAAACCAGATTGCTTTTGATGGTTTTATTTAAACTCTTAATCCTTAAATATTTTATTAGGCTATGTGACTTTGAAATAAGAAAACAAAAGCAATCATTGAATCACTGCAATTTATTTTTAACTTGTTCACACTTTGTTCCACAAACAAGAAAAAACAACAAACAACTTAAGTTAAAAGAAATACTGCAATACAACAAACAACAACTTATGTTTTCCACCTCATTTTACCTCTCATCACTGAAAGTGTCGGGTCACATACATAGGTGGATCCAAAGAGGACCAGAATCCTCTGAGCATGCCTCCTCAGGTGTGGAAAGTTCTACTCTTTGAGGGAGGAGATGTTTAGTTTATTAAAATTTATTTTGTAATTTATGATTGCTGCTGTTGACCTTCACTCACAATCATGCATGCGCATACCTTCACGGAAGTAATGCAAATAACGCTTTTCAAAACAAAAGTAGCACCGTTGTATTGCACACTCGACATAGACACGTTTTTAAATTTATTTTGTAATTTATGATTTGCCTCACGCGGGCCGGACAGGGACGCACAAAGTGCCGGATGTGGCCCGCGGGCGTAAAATGCCCAGGTCTGCCCTAGATTCACCTCAGTTCTACTTGAGTGAGCTGAATTCACACTAAGTCAAAGAATAACAACTTCTGGAGACAAGTCAACATCACTTTAACCACACCCTCAGTCTTTGACCTGTGCATTCCTCTGACTCACACTTTATCTGCAGATGCAGTTCAGAGATCACTGCTGCACCTGCTGGAAGGCAGTCAGAATTTCACCTGTTCGGCTATTGTAACCCCAACATCTCAGAGGTCACAACAAAAAGGGAGGCACATCATGTTCTAGTTCTGGATTATTATAAACTAAGTACAATATTAGGGTTTCTAGTATGAGAGTGAGTCAGATCAGTGGTGTCAATTCAAGTTATTTCAATAGCACATTTCGGCAATAGGACAGTTCAAAGTGCTTTACACAATAATAATACAGCAGCTTGTAAACCCATCCCTGCAACTAAATACTTAAAATTTATCAAAGCGACCTTTCAACCTGCAGCACCACTTCTGACTACACTGAAGCTCAGGCACCCATTATTATTTTTCATTTACAAGTAAATGATCCTGTTTACAGAGCTACAGTATCCATGTGTGCAACAAGTCATTACAGAAAGCAGCATCCCTTAAGCTCGTCCCACTGCCAAGGCTAAAAAGGATGGAACTTTGTGGATTAGTTGTAACACTATGAAAGGTATTTTTTATCGTTTATAGAGTGGGTATAACCAGATGCCAGTTCCAAAGGGCAAATCAGCAAGCTTTTGGTGATCATCAGTATATGTATTCTGTTGTAATTGGATGTTTGTTTTCTTCCAGTCAAGTAACATCTGCAGAGGATGAAGAGGGTATCTGATAGGTATATTCTCAACTTTCATAAAATGAGAACCACAGACAATGTTAATTTTAATCAATTCTTCTGCAGAAGGAGACACAGAAGAGCTACTTCTTCCAGCAGCTCTCCCATGTGTTCTGCCCTTTGTCTTCAGAACTGAAAGGAAAAAAAGGGAGGCTCTTCTGATAACAAATGGGGGAAGCACAGGATGCAACCCAGTTTTACGACTGAGAAGTAGCTCAGAAATTGTCCGAAGACCAGCTGCAAAAACATGTTGGAGGTTAAAGAAAACTTACACACTTTAGCAAATTCCTTTTCTCAACTGGAGAACTAAACTAACTTTTGTAGGAAGAACAAACTGGTAACTACTTATGTAAGAATAAGAAAACATAATTATTCTAACAGTATTGAGTTGGCTTCAAGGGGAGGGTCTCAAAGAAAAACTGAGGATTTTACGACCATAGGGCCTATGGCCCTAAACTTAGGGCCTAAGTTTAAATTATATTACTTTGTGATAGGTGCATAAAATACAGTTACGTAGCTTTTATTTTGAAAGCAACTATTGTTTTTCTTTTGTAAGGTCATCAGTGAACTTATGTACATCAGCTTCCAAAACAAAATTGTCCTTCAGCCATCGAATATGTCAGCTAATGTTAAAAAGGAATTGATGTAGGATTAAAGTTTTTATGAAAGGGAAAAGATGGTGGATCTATTTCATGGCTTTTAGTTTTGTTTTTATGAATAACATTAAAATACTGAGAATAAAGACAAAATGCTGTTGTGTAATGGAAGTTAAAACACTGACAAAATGGAAATTAGTTGAAAAAAAGGTTGTTGTTGGATTCTTTCTAAGCAGTGCACATACACAGGATGCTTCTTTGATAAAGAAAGACCTACCTTAGTATTAATCTAAAGTACACATTTTCAAGCTCATTTAAATATCAAAACTTTTACAGTCTGTATCACTGGTCAAATTTTATTGCTCTCTCAAAGAGAAAACTTTTCCACACCGTCATTACCCGCCTGTTAGCTATTAAGTGAAAACATTATCATTTCAGATGTAAGCTTTATCAGTGTAGCTTGACTGTATCATGCGGTAACGTGCTAGCAGAAGGGGAATTCATTTTCAACATCACATCTGTGATCTAAAAACGGCTTCCAAAGACAATTAAAGTTGACTAAAGTTTTTTTCGCACAGGATAAGCATTACATGGTAATACATAAATTACTTTCCAACGTTTACTTTTTATGTTTCGCATTCACACAGGATAACCAAGTGCCACCTAGCTGTATAACCGAAGGCTACAAACAGAAGAAAATTATTCTTACCTCACAGCGAAATGCATGATGTGAGGCACCACTTGCGTCTGATTTTGCTCCTTGTCTTCAGCCTTTTTATTTGACGATGTACATTACGGATCGACAGGATTTTGCTGATCCGGGACTGAAAAGGTTTTCAAAGCAGTCTCCATTCTTCAGCAAAAGTAAATAAAAATGCTCCCAGGGAAGCAAAATATGCGCAATTATGTTTCAGATCCGATCCATTTCTGTTCAAATTAAAGAGATACCTATTTACACTGGATTAGTTTAATTCGTCGGAGTTCAGCAAAGATATACTACATATTTTAACAGAAATTTTTTGTTTATAAATTACAAATTATAAATTTTTGGTTATAAATTCACACAGGATTAAAAACTGACAGTCTTTGCTATTATTATAAATAACGTGATTCTTAGGTAATATTAATCCTGTGTATTACATAAGGGTTATGACTAGAGTTTAATATTCTAGTTAAAAATTTAATAATTTGTGCTCCAGTAACCCTCTCTGCTAACATAGCACTTATAAAGCAAGGAAATCAAGTACCTTGAGAATTTAGTGGTAAAAAACATCCAGCATTTCAACAAGAAAGTGTTTTGTGGTGTGAAAATCAGTTTAAACGCCTTTGTCAGCAAGTAATCACACTAAACGAGATGTATGTATATTTGTATGGTCGCCTATGTAAGTTATGCGTAGTTATAAAACCTCTCTAGTCAAACTGTGCCAACATGGCGGCGCTAATGTGCCAACATGGCGGCGCTAATGTGCCAACATTCGCGCCGCCATGTTGAACAGCTAGCTGTAGTCTCTGGTTAGCTGTTCTCGGCTCTCTGTGCTACGACGGGACGTTTTCCAAACAGCAACATTTTTTTACTTTAGGTTCCAAGTGTTATCACAATGTCACATTTCCCTTGATTAAACTGTTAAAATTAAACTAAAACATCACTTACCCTCAATGAATTGCTCTCTCTCGGTGTCGAGTACGTCTCCGGTCTTCTTTAAATCTTCCTTTTGTGTCTTCTTCTGTTTTTTGGCCTGTTTGCAAGTAACTTTAAGGAGCATTAGCGCCATCTCCTGGATTGGTTCAGAAATAGGAAATTAACAGAAAAACCAGAGTGATTTTGTTTTTCAATCATACTACTTTCATCAAATATTTAAATTGTATTTACTCCAAACATATTTTTGTTGTGTAATTAATTTAATTTATTCAGTGTTTTTTTTTTTTTTACTGTTTCCTTCTGGCTCATTTCGTTTGTACTCCACTCCGTCATAATAAGTTGCATACAATAACTACATAAAAAGATGTTTTTTTTCTTTACAACAATAAAGGGATTTTTTAAAGACTTGACTGACCTATTCAATACCCTATTAAATGCCTTACATTTAATATTAAATGTTTATTATTAAATGTAAGGCATTTAATACATTTAATAATAATAATAATAACAATGATAATGCTAACATTATTATTATTGTTGTTGTTGTTCATGGATCACATATACTTATGAATGTATTTGAATTTCTTTGATAAAAGTGTATGCTAATCAAGATGAGCACAATAAACAGGCATGTAAATATCCCAGATATTTTCCAGTTTTACATCAATGGTAATTTTTAGTTTATGATGTAAAAATGATTATTTGTACAAAAATGATTTGTTTTTTCCTTATTACTGCTAGGTGGAAGCATTATCTTAATTTAAGCTACATAAAGTGAAAGAGTTTATAGGCTGTCAAAGTAAAATACAGATTTCCGTGTTTTCTCTTAACAATACATGAAAACGTTGAAAAAAACAATGTAATTTTAAATATATTTATTTTTAATAAAGCATTATTTCAGCATAGATGTTCAAGTCTCGAAAAATTTGAGTTTGCGGTTGAAGTACAAAGAGGCTTTTGTTTTTAAAAGTAACTTCCGGAAGTTCGTCGCCCCGCTTCCTGTAGCTTCACAGTGGCCCAGTCAAAACAATGCAGTGTTGCAGCTGCGAGTAGCGTCAGCTTTAAAGAGCAACAATCTAATTTCTCCACGGTCACGGTGCTCCGTGTCCGCCCGCTGGCTGCATCACCCCGGCGGACGTCAGCCGGATCGGGCCCGGGTTCATTTCACTCCGAGCCGCCATTGTTGGGGATTTAACCGTTTTTGTTTAGCCGAAATGGAGCCCGCTAACGGCTGGCTGACAGCAGCAGAGGGAAGTGGCTGAACGGCGAAACAAACCCGGAGTTTGCGTCCATAAACGGTGAAATAAACTCTCGGTAGGCCGGTGGGCGACATGGTGGAGTAGTAGTGGTCGTCGGCGCTTAAGTTCTCGGTGTCCTCCGAGCTCTCTCCCCGGGGAGGACCGCCATGGCGCCGGGCTCGCTGGTGGCGGCCTGCCGCAGTCTGGCCCTCTCTACGTGGCTGCTCTCCTTCTGCTTCGTCCACCTGCTGTGTCTGGACTTCACCGTGGCCGAGCGGGGGAGTGGTACACCGCCTTCGTCAACATCACCTACATGGACCCGGCCACCTCCGAGGTGCGCACCGAGAAGACGGAGTGCGGCCGCTACGGGGAGCACTCCCCGAAACGGGACGCCAAGGGGGTGGTGGTGCTGCCGCCGCCCCGCTGGACCGGCAGGCCTGTGACCCCCACACCCGCTTCGTGGTGCCCTCGCAGGCCGCGGCCGGTTGGATAGCGCTGATAGCCCATGGGAACTGCACGACCAAGGACAAAATCCGCCATGCTGCCGCCCACAACGCCTCGGCGGTAGTCATCTTCAACGTGGGCTCCACCAACCCCAACGACACCATCACCATGCGCCACCAAGGTACGAAACAGACAGGATGGTGAGGTTATTTCTCTCCATCCAACTCAAACTAACAGGAGTTCCACTACGGCGGCGTGTTAGGGCAACTGTAGACGGAAAAGACGAGTACATTTCTGCCCAAAAAAAAAACTTTCTAGAAAAACAAGGACATTTCTAAGTTTGAAATGTCAAAACAATTGCTATTTAAAAAAAATCTAAATTTTTCTGAAAAAAAAACTTTGAAATTTCAGAGTTTGAAAAAGTAACAAAAAATGCCAATAATAAATTAATACATTTTCACATTAAGCTCAGAAACTTTCAAGAAAAAATCATGGACATTTTGCTGGAGAAAATGAAAAAATGTTCTAAAAAAACAAGGAAACTTTCGAGTTTATAAAGTCAAAAGTTTGCCAAAGAAAACTCAGATGTTAAAATTAGTATCAGAAGTTTTCGAGAAAAAAAACAGAAGGCAACAGTTTCAAAAGTTTAGAAGTAGGAAGATAAAATGAACCTTTTTTGGAGCCAGGAAATATTTTCTGCTGTTCTGCAGATTAAAAAGTTTCTGTTTTATGTCTGGGCTTTAGAGAAACATAAATTCAGCTTCAGTTTATGTTTGTTTGCCTGCAGATTCAGTCTGATCTGAGCTTTTTAAACAGTGCAGCTTCTGGTGAGGCCTGAGAACTAGAACAGATTTGAATGGATTCTAAATTATCCCAGAAGTTATTGCAATAAATAATAATACTATTAGTTATGCACTTATATAAAAATTAGGGCCGATATCAATATCTGATTTTAATACTGCTACTGTGGCCGATACTTGTTATTTACCAGTCAAGTATCTCTTTATTTTTTTTGATATCCAGAAACAAATGGCAACAAGACGAAAATAAATGTTGGTTGTTAATATCGACCGGCTCTTATTCACCAATATGTTAAAAAATGGCTAATATCAGCCTATACCAATGCTAGTGCTGATGTATCATATATCAATAAATGTTATTTTGAGACCATTTTCCAGTAATAAACATTCTCAAAGATCAATAAACTTTAAATTCTCATGAGTATTTAACTCTGAAACTGGAAGACACTTTAATATCCAAAATAAAAAATCAAAACAGACACAACGAATAGTCAATTATAGAATCGCTGTAAAACAAATCAAACTACCAGACTGAGGACTTTTAGCATCCAGATTTTGGTAGAGTAAATCATGCAAATGGAAATCACTCAGTTCATTTTAATTTATCATTTGATTAATTGATTATTGCAATAAACTTCAGACAGATTTGAACGGCGCCTGTGGAGCAGCAGGGTCTCCTCCGATGTTTTGGCCTCTTCTGATTAGATTCCATGCGGAGCAGCTTGACGTGTTGTTGTCAGTCACGATGCGGCGCCGCGTTACGTAACGGCAGCAGCGAACCGACAGCTGGGATCTCCTCCTGCAGGCCTCCTGCTCTGACTGCCAAGTCCAGTGAATGGAAAATACTCTCCATTTGTTGACTTTAAATCTAGTTTCTCATGACGTTTTTAGTTTCTTGGAATCCGTGTTTGGAAACTCGGTGAATGTTCCAGTAGAAACATCTGCAGGTCGTTTAGACGCTGTTGAGTCTTCAGGTTGCCGTGTTTATCTGCCAGTCGTTTGGTCTGGTTTTCATTAAAATCTTTATTACACAGCTTCTTTTGTCTTCTTTTTATGCTTTTTTTGGGGGGGTATTTGTTCAAATCACTATGCTGTCAAATCACAAGTTATTTACCCTGTGTGTTGATTTTAGATAAATTTATTAGTTTTGATTTAATTAAGAAACTAAAATCTGCAAACATAAGGGATAACCTGCAAATATACGTCCAATAAATAAAGTTACTTCAGGTCTGGAATCATATTTTAATTAAGAGATGCTCAATCTTTAAGTAAAAAATTTAAATATGTACATTTATTGTTTTCTACACTGACTTTGAAAAAAAATCGAATTCATTTTGTTTTGCTCTCAGCTCTTTGCAGTGTTTGGCCAGTGCCTTATAATTTCAGCTCAGGTATGAAGTTATTTTGTTTGCAGCAGAACATTCCTTTAAAGCCAGGAAATAAAAATGTTGTGAAACTGGTCAGTCAGCATTCCTGAGTCATTAGTCAATAGTTAGCTAAAACCGTTGTCAATACCAGCGATAATGTCTACCGGGTAGTTTGCTAGGCTACAAGTGCAGAAGTTGCTAACTCACAAACCAGAGTTAAAAGTAAATGAGATGAATTAGTGTTATATTTAGAACAGAAAGTAAAATAGAGCAACCAATTCATGCCAGATTAGAGACTAAAGGAGGATCTGTGTAAAGCAACAGACTGCAGGCTAGTTAATTAACGACTGCTATAGAAATCATTGAATAGCATAATTAGAATTAGTTTTACTTTATAAGATCAAAAGAAACTGGAAGTGTTCATACTCTGCACAATAAGCAGAAACTTTTCTCCATTTTCTGCTTTTCTTTTCCACTGCTGTGTTTAAAGTTCAGTGTTTTTATAACAAGATGCAGTTTTAGCATAAGAAAATAAAACAAACTCAATTTCCACTTGATTGATTTATTGTATTTTTCTTCTCATTCTACCAAAAACTGAATGATAAAAGTCTTCAGTCTGGTGTTTTGGTCTCAACTAGCTCTTATTTTGAAGGATCATTTTGTTTACAGAAATTTCATAATGCATTTCATTTGTTGTTTCTGTTGTTTTGTTTGTTTAGTTTGGGTATTTAAAATAGCTTCCAGTTCCAGTGTTAAATGTTCGTTATTATTTAAAGTTTATTGGTCTTTGAGAATGTGTTCTTGCATTATTATGCCAGTATATGTTTAGATTTGAAGAGAAAATTTACAACTAACTCAAACTTGACCACAATGAAAAAAATAACAAATCATTGTTTGCTCATTTTTATTTGTTTTGTTAGATACATGTGTTACTTTGAGTCACTTCCAGTCAGTTAAATCCAGTGATTACATTTATAGCAGCAAAATGTTGCATAATATGGTTTTATTTATTGCTCTGCCTCCCACTCAGTGATATAAATACACTTATTTTTAACTAGATTTTGAGTAGATCCTTGTTTTCAGTTTCCCAAAAGACACAAAAATGCTGCTGAATTCAGATATTTCCTTCTGGATTTGAATCTTGACGAATGTGATTCTTTCTCAGTGGTGAATCTTTGACCTCCAGGTCAGAGAGGGTTGGTTGGTGGGTGGGTGGA